GAGGGATGCTAGCAGGCCGGGGGGTGTGGCCCTCAGGCCAGGCTGGTACGGTCAGATGAGTCCAGGAGGAGGCAGGTGACCATGAGAGGAGACAGGTCCTGAGATGGGGCCGGGCTGATGGCAAGGGCGGGTGAGGATAGAAGTCTCCTGGGCCCCAGATGGCACCTGCTCGCCCCGTGCTGGGGTTAGGAAAGAAAGAGCCGTGGCATCCCTGCCGGACCACGGGAGGCTCACCTGCCCCTTGGAGAAGCTAGACCCTCTCTTCTCGTCTGACACCCTCCCACCTCCTCCAGCGTGTGGCCAGATCCCAGACTCAGAACACCAACTAATCTTGATTTTCTCTTTGTTTTTGTTTTGTTTCGTCTCGTTTAATGCCTTGTCCCTTGCGTTCTCCATGTGTCCCGTGTCCATCTGCTCCCTGTGCTGTGGGTGTGGTGCCTTCCTTGCCTGGTGTCACCCACTCCTGCTTGCCCCCGTCCCTGCCGGCTCCCCGGGGTGGGGGTGGGCAGCGTACAACGCCAAGCTGCAGGGCCTCGGGCACACCGGCTTCCGGCTGCCTCCTCTCCACCGGCTCCGATCTTCCTCCGCCTCTGGTTGGTTCACCTCTGCCCTTCCCTCTGTGGCCCCCGCTATGGCTCTCAGCTTCCCTCCCTCTCTGTCTCCATGGGCTTCTTCTTCCAGACCTTTGCCCAGTCTCGTCCTCTGTCCTCGTTTTTCCATTCCCCCTTCCCTTTCTTCCTTCCCTCTTCTCTTTTCTTCTTTCCATCCCTTCCCATTCTCTCTGCCCCCGCTTGCCCACTCTCTCTCCTCTCTCCCCCCAGCCTCCCTCTCCCCTCCTTTCTGCATGACTGAGTGCTCCCACTTCTGCATGGACACAGGCCTGATGCTTTTAGCCTTGGCCTTACCTGCTGGGGACAGGGTCTGGGGTGGCTAGATGAACCTACAGGTTCCCCGTGGACACGCAGGCCATGGCATGGGTGTGCTCGGTGAGGGTGAGGACAGTCCAGCCCTCGGGCCGCCCTGGCCAGACCACCCAGGCCACTGGGCCAGGGCCTCGGTAGGAACCAGGCTGTGCTTTGCATGGGCCACCAGGCTCCTGACAGAGAGAGAGAGAGCATCTGTGCTCTGTCCGCTCTTGAGTACGGTACTGTCTGGGGACACAGCACACCCTCTGGCCTCATCCTGAATCTCAGATCCTAGGACCCATGACCAAAAGTCAGAAGCCCTGGGTGTGGTCGTGACCGTCTCTGTGACCCTGGGCAAGTCTCTTAATTATGCAGAGCTCAATTTCCTACTGTGGGAAATGGAGAGATCGTAGCCCTGCCACGTGTATCCTGCATCGGTGGCTTGTGCTCCAGTGTGGTGGACCCTTCATGAAGGGCCTGTGTCTGCTCGATGATGCCCACTAATGGCTGCCCTGGGTCTCTTGGACATAAAGGCCCATAGTCTTCTAGCTCCATGGAGGGACACATGTCATGTTTGCCCTGCGCCTCTAAGCCCAAAGGCCCAGCTTAGGGAGAAGCTGTGCTCAGGCTTGCCCCACACCATGGCCTCGAGCAGTTCCAGAAAAGGCTTCGAAGGCATTGGGGGTTGTTGAGTCCTAATGGAGGTATTTGGTGCTCGCACAGACTCTCCTCTTCCCAGTCCATGGATAACGGGGAGATGGCTCTAGCAGAATGCCCCCTGCCTGCCTCCTCTCCCCGACCTTCACCCTTTCTCGGCCCAGTGGAGGGGAGTGTTCAGTTGGGCCTGGGGGAATGAGGGCAGTTCTGGGGTGGGTGGGGGCCTGTCCCGAGGGGAGCTGGCATGGCTTGCCCTGGGGCTGCTAGTGTGATCGCCGTGTGGCTTTCTGGTGCCCTGGCCCAGCAGGTGGCCCCCCGGATACCCTGGCTTTCGGAGCCCCAGGCCTGCTGTCGGACACCCAGCCCCGTCACCTGGAGCTGAGGAGCCCAGTCTTTTGGAAATCGGAAGGCTGGAAAGAAGAGCTGGGTCTGTGGGGGTGGAAACGGCCAGTCCGGGGGCTGCAGGGGAGACACGTGATGAAGCCTGACACCAGGGCATTTGTCTGTGGGACTCGGGCGCTGGGCAGCTGTGCTCAGCCAGAGCGGGTGTGTCGATGTGTGTGAGGGCTCCAGCGCCCAGAACTGCAGTGTGTGTGTGTGTGTGTGTGTGTGTGTGTGTGTGCGAGCGCGCGTGCACGCGCACGCGTGCTCATGCGTGTGCCTGTGTGCGTGTAGGGAGACAGAGGCCCTGACAGACTGGGAACAGTCAAGAGACTGAGAAAGTCTTGGGGTCGAGGGTGGTGGAGGGAAGGAGGGGAGTGGGCACCAAGCCTATTTTTACGAGGGGTCAGTCTCTGGAACATGGTGGGGGGGCTGTTCTGTCTCTGACACTGACTATGAGCTTGTGTCCAGCTGTCCCAGCTTGGCTGAGGAACAGTAGGATTCTCTTCCCTCCCCCCAGCCATGCCCTGACTCCCCTCCCGTAGAGAAGGACAAGAGAGAGGGGACATGGCTCCCCAGCACTCCGGGGCAAAGCTGAGCCTGCCAAGGGGGACAACAGTGAGATACTGTGTTCAAAGAATGTGAGAGCCCTGGCCGGCCACTGGTGCCATGGGGCGCACTGTGGGGGGGAGGCGCTGTCCCCATGGGAGTGGAATGTGGGGTCTTCCTCCTTCTGCGGAGTCCTAGCTCTTTGGAGGTCATCCTGTCCTCCCCCTGCTTCAGGACTTGAGGAGGAGGTGTGATCATTCTCAGATGTCTGACTGTCTTGTGCCAGGATCTCACATCCTCCACAGTTGGGAAGCCCCTCCCGTAGTCTGGCCGCCTCTCTGTGAGGCAGCTACCATCTGGGGCACCTAAACATGGAGGGTGCTCTGAGCACTCTGGGGAGAATTTTCTCTGTCCCTCTGGGAGATTCAGGGCCTCGGATTAAAACAGACTCACTTTTCAAGGGCGGACATCAGATCCCCAGACAGGGACACTGGCCACCCCTTGCAAAGGAACAGGGACCTGCCAGAAAGAGGCTGCTGGGCTGGGTGAGCCGGAACTGAAACCAGCCGTAATGCATTTCTTTTAACCTTGGGGCTGAACTTCGTTCCAAACCCCTAGAGCCTTTCCCAAATGGGCCTCCTTTGTCACAATTATTATTAGAAAATCAATGGCTGTGTCTGTTTCTTTCTAATGTTTTTGCCAGGAATGAAATGAGCAGTAGCTCTAGATGAGGCTGCCCAGGAGGCCTGGGGTGGGTGGGGCTCCAAGGAGGTAGGAGACACGGGGTGAAGGCAGGTGCACCCGCAGTTGTGACATGGCGCTCGATGCGGCCACTTCTCTGAGGGCTGGGAGCCCGGGGTTGTCGCGGGGTCCCCGGGTGCTGCTCAGCCCTTTCAGGGCCTGCCTGCACCTTTGATCCAGGGTGATGCTCCTAGCAGACCCTAGTTAGGACTATGTGACCCCCCAGTTTTCTATTCTGAAAATAAGGGCATTTTAAGGTGAGGGCTTTTTTGCTTTAAGGAAAGCCGTTTGTGAGTCTGGTTTACTGTCCCCATCAAGGGGCTGTTTGGTCTTGGTGGAGAGAACAGGGAGCCCTGCCTCTGGGCAATAAAGAGCCCAAAGTGAACCCAGCCCCACCTGGGTAACACTGCCTTTGTAAATTATGCCAGTCTTGCTGCCCTCTGGACGGGGCCCAGAGTTATGGGATAGACGAGCGACTGTGTGTGTGTGAGAGAGAGAGAGTGTGCATGTCCCTCCCTAGTTTGGCACCGACAGCCTGCTGTTCGTGACAAGAAGGAATGTGCCTCTCGCGGCAGCCTTAGTGGCCAAGCCCGGCCAGAACTGGGGCGGGGCACCTGGGGCATGCCGACCCTGCTGTGGATGGTAGGTGACCCAGTCCGAATGAGGGTGATTTCTGCTTGCTGCACTGGCGCATTCCCAGCGGCCAGCAGCGTGCCCGCGTGCGTGAGTGTGTGCATGCGTGTGTAGCGTGCCGTGGAACAACGTTCCCAGATGTGCTGGCACGAGGCTGGTGCGGCCAGCATCCTAGGTGACCTTCGATATATCCCGGCATTTCCTCTCACTTAACCTGCCCTCCCGGGTAGTGGTGAAGGCAGAGCTGAAAGTTGCCTCACTCAGGCTAATGAAGACAAGAAGCCTGTCCTCAGGCGAGGTCTCGGCCTCCGGGACCTGGGGAGTAAGTTTTCTAGGGTTCTGGAACCGGCTCAAGGAGGCAATGGGTTCCATGCCTCAGCGCAGCTGTGAAGACGACGGAGTGGGAGGAAGGAGGGCAAGGCTAACAACACGCCCAGGCCTGAACGGAGGGGATCCAGGAAAGCAGATGGAGCTCATGACTTCAGCCCCTGTGTTGCTGGCAAGGGCAGGGTGGGAAGCTCACCATCTTTGGGGCGAGAAAAGGGGTGGGTAGATGAGGAGCCAGCAGAAGCGAAGGTGGTCAGAACTTTCAGAGGTGCATGGGAGGAAGGTTGGAGAACCCCAGAGAAGACCGGCAACACTCTAGGGGCCAGCTGGGGCTGGGACTTCGCTAGAAAACTTAAGTCGTTTCTTTGTTTCTCCTCGGGAGCACCATTTGCAAGATGATGCATTATTTGCTCCTTCCAAATGTCTTCCCCACGGGCCCGATGTTGATTGTTGGGTGATGCGGTCACCTTGGAGACTGTCTCTCCTCCTTCCACCTTCTCTCATTTCCCTGGAAGTCCTGGCCCTCTGCCTCCAGGGTTTGCAAGGAGTTGACATCTGTTTCTTGTATCAGCCCTTTGTGCTTTGGGCCACAGCCCTGTGCAGGGTAGAGATTCCCGGTGAAGGCCAGCCTGACTGTAGTGGAGAAAGGCTGGGGTGCGGGCCGAGGGGGCTGGTGGGGAGTGCTCAGGACACACAGGCTCAGCTCCAGCATGGCCCCTGGCTAAGATGCACCGCCTTCTCTGGGGCCTGACTGATCCTGTCTCGCCCAATATGCTCATTGCCATCTATGCCCTGCGTTCCTTACAGGGGTGCAGGCTCGGGAGAAGCAGCCTGCAGAGCCCCCAGCCCCTCTCCGGAGGCGGGCAGCCAGCGATGGACAGTACGAGAACCAATCTCCAGAGCCCACGTCTCCACGTAGCCCTGGGGTCCGTTCCCCTGTCCAGTGCGTCTCCCCTGAGCTGGCTCTCACCATCGCCCTCAATCCTGGAGGGCGGCCCAAAGAGGTGAGTCCTTGGGCTGCATCCTGTGGCCAGAGAGGGTAGTGGAGCCCACGTGAACTCTCTGGGAGCCAGACAGTCACCTGAGTGGCACTGCCCTGTAGGGAAACTCAGTCCTCACCCTATGTCTCTTCTCTGGCATGTGGAAGTTGGCATTTCCCTCCCTAAATAGTTCTGTGCTCCCACTTCTTAGATTAACACTGACGTTGATGTTCTCTCCTAAAGAGCGCCCCTTAGTAGGGTGGTAAGGATCCTGGGTATGGCACGGATGACCCCAGTCTGCACTCCAAACCAGATCATATAGTCTGACATGAGTGATTTGGAATTCTTTCTAGATATAGTGTTTCCTAGGAGATCTAACTTCCATGCCAACATGTTTGCATTTCTGAGACATTTCAGTAGTTGGAGGCAGTAAATCTTAAACTTCAGCGAGCATCACAGTCACTGGGGAGTTGTTCAAAGACATAGATTCCCAAGTCCACCTCCAGAGAGTCCAGCGTATCAGGTCTGGGACAGGGCTGAGGAATATGCATTGGAAACGTGCATCTTAGAAAATTCTGATACGAGTGGCCCACGTCCAATAAAATCCAGGCTAGCGAGTTATTCTGGATATAAATGGATTTTGGACATCTTTTCTCTCCTGTCTGCCTTCTGGCGGGACCCGAGCCCCTCATCCCAGCCCCTCTCTTTGGCTCCGTTGTGCAGTGTTTCCAAGGCAGGTGTGCCTGGTTTCCATCCATGCTGGACCACGGCTTTGCAAAGAGCCGATTTCCTTTTTCTCAGTGACGAAGAAATTGGTGGCGCTGTGAATGGCCAGGATCTATCTCCCCTTGACCTTTGTGCCTGCCTGAGGAGGCGTGGGTGGTCGGGCCGGTGAGGGGACTTGTGGGCCGGTTATCTGGGAAGCCCCTGATTTCGGGGTATGGCCGCCAGTGGGCATCCCCTCGACCCCCCTGTTCTTCTCTTGCAGCCCCACCTGCACAGCTACAAGGAGGCCTTTGAGGAGATTGAGGGAGCTTCCCCAACCAGCCCTCCGCCCAGTGGGGGTAAGAGCTCCTCCCTGAGTCTGTCTTCCCCTGGGCCCCTCAAGCCCCCCTCTCAGCCCCGACCTCAGTAAGCACCCCAGGTGTGAGGGCAGTTGCTGGCAGTGCGGAGCAGGCAGGGATCTGCACTCATTTCACGTCCCCATCCCGGCCCCACGTCTCTTCTTTCCGTCGTCCACGCGCAGATGTGTACGGATGCAGCAGCCGCAGGCTGGGGACCCTGCTGACCTTCCGTGGGGTCCCTGGCCTCCCAGAGTCTAGACTTTCCCTAGCTGTTAAGAGTTTATTGCATTCTGCATGCACCCCCCTCCCCTTGCCCATTCCTAAAGTGACTGTGACTTGCTGGTGTGTCTCTGAGATACCCTTTGACCTACTTGCTCCTGACCCCCATTTGTGTCCACATCCAGGCACCTGTTCTGTTTCAGGAAACCTCGTTAGTTTCCATCAAGGGAAGAAAGGCCCAGAACGCTGAGCCTGGCCGAGTCCCCAACTCACCCATCCTTGGCCTTTAGGCAGGAGCACCTAGTTTGTCCCTCCCGATGCACTCCCTGGAGAGGCAAATCCCCAAAGGACAGAGGCATTTCCACCCACACAGAAGACCCAGATGAGTGCAGGGGTGGGGCGGAAGAGGCAAGACGAGCTAGAAGGGGCAGTGGTGGGGCAGCAGTGATGGGACAATACTGAGAAGGACTCTGGGTCCCTGTGACGGCCCGGGGGTGGCAGGGGAGAAGGGGGAGGAATGGAACTGGCGGCACGTTCTGCTGGTGGCTGGCTGTCCTGAGGAGGGGAGGAACGTGGCACCAGTCCCCGCCACGGTGCCAGCACAGCCTGTGTCGCCTGTCATGTGGGGCGTGCGGGAGGCCCAAGTTGTGACCAGCAGCCGTGGCCGTCCCCAGAGCAGCGCCATCCAAGGGAACAGGACACACGTCACGTTTGTGATGTAAACTTTTCTAGTGGCCGCATTGAGAGACATAATAGGAAACCAGGGAAATAGATTTTAATGTTTTTCTTTAACCCCCAATGTCTAAAATATTGTCATCTCAGTAGATAAATCAAGATAAAACTATCGACGAGGTCTATCACAATCTTTTTTAAAAAATGTAAAAGGAGGCCCATGAAATTCCTTTCAATAATAGGTTTTCTTTAACCCCCAAGGTCCATCATAGAAGAGAGGTGTTGCCTTCTTATTTCACACCGGGGACTTGAAATCGGGCGTGTGTTTTATGCGTGTGGCGCATCTTCATTCAGACTGGCCGCAGGGTGCGGGCGTGTTCTGAGCGATGTGGGCCTCAGGGCCACCCAGGGGACAGCGTGAGCCCAGGGCGATCTGCTCAAGTGGCATCTCTGTGGCCTTTTGTGACTCTCAGGAATCGCTCTCCCTGGTCTTACCCCTTCACCTTCACCCCTGCTCCAATTCGCTGTGGGTCGAATCAGCCAGGATCTTGGTCATCACCCTGTTTGGGACAGAAGCCACCTGGGCTGAGATCGAGTTCGGTTTTTGCCGCATGTCCTGTCCCCATTCTTCTCTCCCGCCCTTGCCAGCCCTGGTGCCTCAGTGGAGAGCTAAAGTCCGAGGTTTCATCTGTGCACAGGGTTGGGAGAGAGGACAGAGGCGGAGAAATGCGAGGAATTTCTGTGTCGGGAAGCAAAAGCCTTGCCTGGCTTCAGGGCCACCCACTCGTCTGGCTCAGCACAAGAGCCAGATGCCTGGGGACTGGGGCAGGAGCCACCGGCAGCTGGATATGCTAGAGGTGGAACCGGGAGAACCCTCCCCCTGCCTCTCGTCCTCTTCACCTTGGGTCACCCGGCCACCTGTGCCTTTGCCACGCCAGCTGGGCCAGCATAGGCACACCTGTGAGCTGGAGATGCTTGGAACTCCTTCCACGGGCAGTGGTCTGTGAGGCTGGGCTCATTCTTCCATAGCTAATTGCATTCAAATTCATTTATTTGACAAACATTAATAAGTGCTTGATTAAGGGTCCTTTGCAAGACCCCATTTTCAGTAATGGTCAGGGGTTCTGGAGGGTGGTGGAAACTGAGTGTGTGTGTGTGTGTGTGTGCGCGCGCGCGCGCATGTGTGTGTACGTGTAAGGAGAAAGACCTGCAAGCCTAGATCTGCCTCATTACCCAGATGTGTACATTTGTACACACTTGTCTCCTCTGCTGTATTTGTCTGATCAGCATCTAAGGACAGTGTGAGCACAGAGTCTGCCACCCATCTGGACCCCTGTGAGTTCTCACTGTCCCCGTGCACCAATAAGTTATGCACATCACTTGCATTGAGAGAGATGGCAGCTCTCTGTCTTTTGGGGATAGGAGGAGGGGTCGGGGAGGGTCCCGGAGCTGCCGTGTGGGTGCTAGGTGTCGGAGGACAACCCCTGCTCTGCTGAGGCCACCAGCATGTGGCAGGCAGGCTTGGGCTTCAGCTGATCTGTGTGGCTGTGTGTCCTCGGGGCCCATGGCCTCCGCACACTCCTGATGGCCATGCTAGGAGACACAGAGCTCGTTTCTTTGCTGCTTTTCAGAGGTGTGTTAGGAGAGGCAGCCGCTGCCACCGAGGAGAGATCTCGTGACTGGGCGTAACCAGCTCTGAAGTTCAGCTGGGACACTGGCAGTGTCCTTGGCTTATGGGAAAATGGCCAACAGCCCTTTCTGACCTTGTGTGTTACACGACACTTCTAACCCAGACGGGCAATTGGGAAGGGCCCTGGGGTTTGCGCAGGGAGTTGGTGCTCTTGGCCATGGATGGTGGGGACGGGGCTTCTCCCTCTTCCAGAATGCTGGGATTTGGGGGGTACAGAGAGCCCCACACTGAGAAGTTCTCTCTTCCTGGGGTTTGCAAGTGACATGGTTGGCTGGGGATCAAAGATCTTTGGCCGAGGGCTGCCCTGGGATCTCAGAGTGGGCACGGTTCTACCCATGATCCCTTTACAGGATGTGCCATCTCGAAATCCCTTTTCCTTTAGTTCTCTAAGCCCATCGAAGTGCGTGGTATAGAGAGACTGTGTGCGTCGGTGGGGAATGACAGAATATACTATGGAGAAGTCAGAGAAAGCCAGAGACACATGCGTGTATGTCGTGAGCCATGGCGATGCAAGGGGACCACAGCGATGCCACTGAGGGCTCGAGCATAGAAATTGTTTTCTTGAGGTTGAGGGCCAGGCTGAGGGGCAGCGCCATTTCCTGACTTTGTCTACCCTCGGAGCTGCGGAGAAACACAGAGTTGGGAAAGGGCCGCGGCAGCAGCCTCTGGGACTGGGGCTGGCTCTCTTGCGCCGCCTCCTGCTGCCAACCCCTCACCGACATGCCCTCACTTAGGGGTGTTCCCAGTCCTGCCCCCTTTTCTCTCCCCACCCGTCCCTCACCCCGAGGCTCACTTGTGTCTCCTTTCTTCTTTCTGGCACAGTGCGCTCCCCTCCAGGTCTGGCCAAGACCCCCCTGTCTGCCCTTGGCCTGAAACCCCACAACCCAGCAGACATTCTGCTGCATCCTACTGGTGGTGAGTGGCCCTGGGGAAGGGAGGTGGTGGGGGAGGCCCGAGGGATGCGTCGGGGTTGGAGGACCCCTGTGGTCCTAGGTGGGGGAAGGGGGGGGGCTCAGGATCTAATTAGAAAATGCCCAGACGTGATGGGTTCTCAGGCCCTTCTGGAAACAAGATGGCAGCCTGGCTTTGTGCCCACACTGAGGTCAGGCCTGAGTGAGGGGCTCTCTGTGCAGGGGTTGAGGGGGGTAGGTCCCTTTATAGTCTTCCTGGGGTTGTGCCACTCCCGGGGTCCTCTGACTTGGGGTTTTGGAGGCTTGGCCTCAGTTTCCTTCTCTGCCATTAGCCTGGCTCCACTATCCCCCAGTGTTCACCCTTGTGTCCTTGGAACCAACCCCCCCCATACACACACACAGATGTGCACACAACCCTAGCTCACACTCCTACTTCTTTACCAATCTCCCAGCTCCTTTATTCTCTGTGAGGAAGGGGAGAGTGGAGGGCCGTGGTCCCCGAGGGGCCATTCTGAGCAGGCTGAGCCCAGAGGGTTTTCCCCTAGACTCTGGTTTTAGGGCTGGGCTGGGGCTCTTGGGGCCAACTTTGCTTTTTTTCTCCAGTCACCAGAAGACTGATCCAGCCAGGTAGGAGGGCGATGATATGCATGCGTGACCCACACGGCAGGCACAGCCTCCCACTCGGGGGTGTCTGCATGGCCAGGGACACTTGAGTCACCAGAGAGCAGAAGCAGGCTGGGGCTGCCTCTCACCGGCCAGCACACTTCTGCTTGAGATGCAAGCCCAGGGCACAGGGGCTGGGAGAGGGGCCGGCGTTGTCCCTGGGAGTGAGGCCGTCATTAGCTCCCGGGGTCCTGGCAGTGTGGATATTAGGGTCTTACCCCTCACCCTGGGCTCGTCCACCCTGGCCTCGCCCCTGCTTTCCTGCCTCCTCTTTCTTAGCAAATTCTCTTTCAGGAAATGATCCCTGTTAATCGATCTCTCTCTCTTTCCTTTCTGCCCTTCCACACCTCCTCATCACCTGCCTCTCTTTCCTGCCTCTCCTTCCTCTTTCCTCTCCTCTCGTCTTCCCTCAGAGGAGGATGAGGGGAAGGTGGTGACAGAGCTTCCCAAAGGTAAGTGCAGCTTTGCTCTGTGGCTCCTTCCCTCTCTCTGGGTCTGGGAATGGCTTGGTTGGCCTGTCCCGGGGGCAGATGTCTTTTCTGATGGGTTTTAGATGACCAGGTCCATAGCCTTCTGGCCCCCATCCCCTGGTGATGAGCTGGCACTCCGGGTGCTACCCTGTGTTCTGACTGAGGAGCTGCGCACAGGTTCAGGTGTAGCCAGCTCCGGTGCCAGTGCGGTGCCACGTTGTGACCACCCCCTGCCCCCCCCCGCCTCCCCCCGCCTCCCCCGCCGCTTGCTCTCCCAGCAACACTTCCGCTAGCTTGCCTGGGTTACAGCCAGCGCCCTCAGAGGGCGAAGGGACACACGTTGTCCCACTTCCAGGGGCGTGCCCCACGTGCACAGCTCAGCGCCAGCTTTCTCTGCAGTACCAGAGCCGAGTGTTGCCCTCTTGAAGCCCTTGCTACCGCAGCTGGGAGGGAGGGAGGGTGCCTCTGTGGGACCTGGGGCGCCTCTGGGGATTTCACAACAGCTGTGGACCCCTCCCACACAAATGCACCAGGCACCCATGCACACGATTTGGACAGGTTCAAAGGGGTTAGCACATCTGGGTCCCAGCTTAACACTCGGTGTAGATGAACTCTGTGTTGTACACGAAGCAGAGTGGGGGACATAGGGAAGGGGACATGGACAGAGAAGGGGAGCAGAGGTGAGACATGGGGGGGCATGGGCAGAGAAGAGGAGCAGAGGCGGGACATGATCTAGTTGGAGCCCTTTACCTTACTAGAAACTGAAGTCAAGTGATGATTCAGGAGCATCAGGTGGAATGAAGTGGGTGCTGGCCTAGGCCGTCTGTGTGTGACTCTGGGTCTCAGGGTCCCTGTCTCCACCAGGGGGACTCGGGTAAGGTGGGCACTGAGGTCCCTTCCAGCTCTGACATGTTAGATGTTCTGACTTTCCACTTGGGCCCTGGTTTCATGTGGCCTGGTTTCTTTAGAGGCTCGATGTGCTTCTGTGAAGCCCACTCCCCTCTTTCCTTTGCACTCACTGCCTTGATTTCCCGCCCCCAGAGCGGGCACAGGCCGTGGCCCTCTGAATCTGCCCACTGGGTGCCAACCAGAGTTTGGACAGCAGCCCCAGGCTGCCTGGGGGATGCAGAACGAGGTGGCCCCCAGCAACAGACCCCGAGTGGGGGGAGCCCCCACGTGCTCTTGGCTGTCCTTCCCCCCAGCCTCCTCCAGGAGTCGGGGGGAAGGGGCTTCCTCCAGGCTGGCTGCTGGCTCTTGGCAGGGCCACGAAGATGGGACAGGAGTCCAGAAATGCTGGGGCCCAGGTGCACCCACAAACTCCAGTGGGAGGGTCTGAGGGGAGATTATCCCCCAAGCTGATAGGTGCTAGAGGTTGTGTTTCCCACGTTGGGGTGACACTTCAGAGAAGCAAAGATCCGGGACACAACTGAATTGCTCATTTCACCCCACAGACGGCTCAGCCTTCAAAGCCCCAACCCTGCTCCGTGTGTTTGGAGGGGACGGTTCCTGGGGATCACCTCTGCTGCACCCATTGTTTCCCCAGCGTGGGGCTGAGTCCTATATTGTGGGGTGAGGGCCCGGGGCTTCTGCTTACGGCCACAGGTATGCCCAGGCTGGACTCACAGGTCTCTTGTCTCCTAGTCAAGGGGCGATTTCAAAGTCCTCCTCCTGTCTCCAGACACCATGCCCAGGGATTCCAGCGTGGGGGGCCAGAATCGCTGTCATGGCCTGGGGAGGAGGGTCCTTGTGGCTCGGAGAGGGGGTGCGGGAGAGGACCGGGAGCGAGGCTGTGGGCAGCCAGTTCCATTTTCCTGACTCATGTACCACCTCCCTGGTCAGACCAAAGCACATTGTTTGCTGACCCTCCCTGCTGAAACTTTGATGGGAAAGTCAGAAAAAGATGCCTGTGAGGAAGAATGATCAGAGGCAGAATCACTCAGCTAGAGGAAAAGCAGATTTTAGGGGGCCTGCTCTCTGCTCTCTGGGCACTCTGCTAAATGCTTTACATGTATTCAATCTCTCATTCTTTGATTCATTTATTCAGTATTTCACATGCCTATTATGTGCCAGGGTCTGGGAATATAATGATATGCGGTACTGTGATTCCTAATCTCATGGAGCATATGCGTGAGCAGGGGCCAGAATTAAATTACTTGGAATTACGTATTGAGATAGCACTCCAAAGGGAACGGACACAGTTTATGAGACCTTACAGCCAAAAGCCTGATGTTGGTTGAAGAAGTAAGATGTGAGGGTGAGTGACATTAACTTGGTGAAACTGGGAGGAGAGAAAAGCATTTGATGTAGAGGAAAAGCATGTACAAAGGCCCTGGGGTGGGAGGGCACTGCATGTTTTTTCTAGGAACTGCAAAATCAGTGAGGCTGAGGGCAGGAAGGGGGCTGGAGTAAGGAGGAATGTGGTTACAGATGAGGTTCACCAGGCAGGAGTGAGACCATGGGCGGCCATTGTCATATCATTTTGTTTAGCAACCACAGGCTGAGAGGAAGGTGGAACTCCATTTTACCAATGAGAAGATGGCATGTAGAGTGGTTAAATGACTAGTCTAGGCCCTCACAGTCATTCAGGGGCATGGCTGAGAGCCAGTGCTGGACTAGCGTGTAGAGGCTGTCCCTTTCCCTGGCACTACACTGGGTGCAGCCTCCGAATGGACACAGTGGGGCCGGGGACTGAGCTCTCCATGATGGAAGGAGAGGAGGAAAGCCTGCAACAGTCACGACGTGAGGTCAACATCAAGAATATCTTCCCAGTGGTGAAACAGGGAAAGAAATTGTGGAAGCTTCTTTCCCAGAGGAAAGGGAACAGGGGGCAGTCACATTAGGTTCTGTTTGTCCAGATGATTAGATGGGACGGATTGGGCATAAAGGGAGACTTTGGACTAGAAATGGCTCCTCTGAAGGGCTCTTCCTGCACTGAGATCCTTGGTGAGGGGTGGCCCGTGGCATCTGGGACTCTGTGACAGTGCTGTGCCAATTTATTGAACACCTATTATGTGCCGGTGCTGTGCTAGACACTGAGGGTAACACGTGAGCTATCCTGGTGAGGGCAGAGATGTGAGCAGATAGTTCAGTGTAAGGACGGAGTGCTGAGTAGGGTTGGAACAGAGTATTAGGGGTGCTCAGAATCCTGTGTATGGATCCAAGTGACTTGAAATTCCAACTTTCCAGCTGCTGGATTGGAACTCGGTTTCTTTACTTCCTCTTACCACCCACATGTCTTCATCTTACTTGGGGTGTGCGGGCCCCTTCTCTCCAGGCAGAGCCCTTCCTGGAGGCAGGAAATGCACTCCAGGGAGCGGGTGAAGAGCAGACAGTGCCCTGGGCCCCACTTCCGGTTGCTCTCAGTTGCCGACAGCCACTTGGAATAAGTTTGGGCTTCTGGAATGTTCTATAGGAAGTGCCCTCCCTGGCTCCACCTCTCCCACTCTTTCCAACTCCTTTGGGTGCAGCTGCTCCAGGCCTGGAGGAGAGGATAAAGATAGCAGGAGAGACTCAGAGAGAAGGCTACAGGGAGGCAGGGGCCGGTGTGGCCGGGGACATGGGCCGGCACCAGTGGGGCTGCTTTTGACACTGGAGTGGAAATTAGCAGGCGAGAATCAGAGGGAACTTCCCCATCTCTGTCACTTGATCTTGCCTGGGCAGGTGGGTATGTTCATTCCCATTTTACAGAAGAGGAAACTGAATCCCAGAAAGTTGCAGCAGCATGTCCCAGGTCACCCCTCCAGGAAGTGAAAGAAGGGAGATCCCACCACTCAGATGTTGTCCTGTGGTTGGGAAGAGAGAAAAAAATAGAAAGAAAGAGGGGGTATTTTCAACGTGGTAACTGAGTCTGAAAACGTGGGCCCTAAAGGTTGGTTTTGAACAGTTCTGCAGACAGACTCAAGAAATCAAGTAACTTCCCAAAGATCCCGCCTCTGTTCATGAGGAACAGAGATCAAGACAAAGGGCTCTGTTCATCTCTCCTCCTGGGTGGGGCTAGTGGGCCAGGACGGGTTGACAGATGGCCACAGCCTGGCTGAGCAAAGACGAGGATGGCCATGCCCCCATCAGGACAGGGGCCAGGTGGGCCAGGTGGACCGGGTCACTGAAATCCTACTAGCCCAGGAGCCAAGCCCTGCGGCTGCCTTCTGAGCCCAAGGACTTTCCTTCCGTGTGGATGGAAGGCAGCTGCTGCTACTCCCTGGGCGAGCTGTCCTGTCCCCCAACTTCAGACACAGTCCTCCTCTGGCTTCCAGTGGCTTAGGATCCAGTCGGAGTGGGGAAGGGGGGCCGAAGAAACTGACACCTTACAAAGGCAACCTTTTTGTAACCATCTTAGGCTTTCTGACATCCCAGAATCTCTAATATGCTGTTCCTTTGTCACCCTGTGCAGAGTTCATGCAGGCCTCCAGCCTGGCGTTCAGGCTACTCTGTTCAGGTCAGGAGCAGTTGGTGGGGACGCGGCCATGTCTAATGGCGAGCAGGCCTGATGGGAGTCGGCATCCGTGGGTCCCGGGCTCGGCTCTGTCCTGACTTAAGGGAGAGGGTGGTGAGGCCCACTTTATCTCAGTTTTACTGCTGTCGAAGGGGTACATTTTTTTACAGGGTGGGGGGTAGGGTAATGTGAGTTGCTGACACGGTGTATGGGCCTGGGTCCTGGCAGAACCAGAATGGCTCATTCCACGGGACAATGGAGAAGAGTTTAATGGACTATTTGAAAGGTCTGGGCAAACTCATGATGGGTAGTGAAGCACCCTTGGGTGGTCCCTAGCAGGAAAAGGAGCCATCCCCACGCCAGACCTGAAAGCAAAGCAGAGAGCTGGAGAGGGCCCCTGACCAGAGCTGTGGTCTTGGGCAGAGGGATACAGCCACTGGCACCTTGACCTTCTCTCCACCCTCCCTCCCATCTCCTGCCAGTCCCTCCCACCAGCTGGAGGCCAAAGCCTTCCAGAGTCCTAGAACCAGAGGGCCTAGGGGATGCGGTCAGTACTGGCTTCCAGGGACACAGAGCAGGCTGGAATGGTAGGAGAGCACAGACTTCAGGGACCGTGCACGGGGGCTTTAGCCAGAGCATTCCAGGGAATGAGAAAAACACGTGTGTGTCTCTTGGGTCCTGGCCATTATGCATCTCTGTCTGGGTGAGGCTGGAGGGTGAAGATCATGCATCTGCTAGCTTGTAGGATCATCAAGGGCTCACCGTAGGCAAGGGGCTATGGGGGGCGCTGCGAATAGAGGTCAGCAAGGAGCCCGGCATGGCCAGGGAGTGGATGGATTTCCTTGTCTTCAGTGAGAGCAAAGGGGTGCTGAGGACCGCGGGCACCCGGGTGAAGCCGAGCGCCTGGAGTTTTCAGAGAGTGACCCAGAATGGCGAGGGATGGGAGGGGACGGTAGACTCTGGCTTTGCGTCTCCACTGCCATTTCTATGGGCTCCTTGCTGCATGGTTCCTCCTGCCCTGATGCGTTACCCCAGGACACAGCCATCCCTCAAAGACTAAAGACACACGAAGCACTGGCTCCCTGACTTCAGCTGGCCCGTGTGTGTATGGTGGGCAGGAGGGCCGGCTCCAGGTCAGACTGCCTGTTCTCCTAGGCTGCCCCTGTCTGCCCCTAGCCACTGTGTGATGGGGTGAGGGGCCCACATTCTACAATTCTCCTACTTTGCTCATGTAGTTGCTATTTTTATCAGTATTAATAGTTCTGGCTGACGTGTTGGATACTCGGTGTCCCCGTGGGGCTGTGGCCCTTCTCTAGGCTACCAGGAGCCAGCACTGAGAGTGAGAAGACCACGATGCTAGTATCTATGGCCATTGATTGGCTGTGTGTTCTGGGACAGATCACTCCACCTCTCTGGGCTGAGGAGACGGGTGAGATCAGGGGTCAGCAAACTATGGCCACGTCTGGCCCGTTGCCTATTTGTGTACAGAAAGTTTGGTTGCCATACAGCCATGCTCATTTGTTCACGGATTGTCTGTGACTTTGAGCTATAAACGCAGGATTGAGTAATTGCCACAGAGACCGTTTGCTAAATGGTCAAACGACTTACTATTGAACCTTGTACAAAAGTGTGTGCCTGCACCGGTCAGAGGATCCCCATGGCATCTCCTAGCTCCAGCAGGCCCTCAGGCACGGTGGGCACAGAACCAATGCCTTTGGCAATGAAAGAGGCCTGGGGCTTCTGTGAGGTAGGTGGGTGGCCTGGGCTGGTGGACCGGGGGGTGGGGGGTCTTTTGAGGAGGCCTCGCTTACCCCTGCCTGTATGGACTCCAGCTTCAGGGCACTGAGGTGGCTGGCTTTGTACCACCCTGTGCCCAGCACCTGGAATAGGACACCCCATGCTTGTCCCTCTGAAGACATCCTGCCCTCCCCCATCTGCTGTCACACAGGCCTGGCTGGCCTAGGGCGGCACAGACTCCCTGGTTCTTCACTTTCTTAGGCTGGTTTTGGCAGATGCCCTGATTGTGGGTGGCATGTGAGCCTGGGCTCTCTGATCACATCCCTCTGGGGGGAGATAGGATGGTGCTAGGTTTGGAGGTGGTAGGAATGTCCTCTATCCCTGCTCACGTCCCCAGAGAGGCTGAGAGTGCCCTGCTTCTTCCGCCGTAGCACAGAGTTAGTTTCAGGCCAGGCCTCAGAGGCCTGGGAGGAGGGTCAGACACGCGCCACCTTGGGGGTCAGGAGATCTGACTCCCCACTGCACCTCCCAGACACATCGATCACTCTCCCCAGGCCTCAGGGCCCTCACCTGTAGACTGCAACCCCCGCCCCGCAATCCGTAGACCCTCCTGAACACCAGACTCGGAGAGCCCTGTCAGTCTCGGGAGGAATGCTAAGTGTGTCAGGCAAGGTGGGTGGGTGTGACTTGTCAGGGCGGGGGCTGGGCGTGACACACCAAGCAGGCCTGTTGCTAGGCCAGCAAGCCTGTTTCTGGATTCTGGGCATGGGTGGAGCCCATGTGAACCCTGGCTCTGTCCTGAGTGTGGGCAAGGCTGGGCTGGAGCTCTGGGTCCACTGTAGAGCCCAGACTCCAGCGGTGCCAGGGAGGACCTTGGAGAGCCTGGGAGGCTGAGTAGAAGGGTCTTGGAAGAAAAGAAGCAGCTAAACGGGGTGCCAGCTATAGACACGGTGCCCTAGCCCCAGGCAGGAAGAATCTATGACGGCGTGTTCAGCGGCAAAGCTGGGGTCCGTTTCTGGGAAGCATCTGTGAGCGAGGCCCTGGGTAAAGGCTCTGTGGGGTCTCTCACAGCTTCTCCAAGACACTGGGAAGACGGGGAGCCCCAGGAGTGCCCTTTGCATGCTTGGCTGTCCTTTGGGAGCTGTCCTCACAGGCTGGGGAAACGCTGTCGGGGTCCACACTGCACCCTCATGGACCTCAGTGTTCTCTTCTGCCCCCTTCCAGAGCCCCGGAGCTACGTGGAGTCGGTGGTGCGGACGGCAGTGGCTGGGCCTCGAACTCAGGACCCCGAGCCCAAGAGCTTTAGCGCCCCACCTGCCCAGGCCTATAGCCAAGAGATGCCCCTGAGGAACGGGACCCTGGGAGGCTCCTTTGTCTCCCCCAGCCCCCTCTCCACCAGCAGCCCCATCCTCAGTGCTGACAGGTAAGCGGGGAGGAGGGTCCAGGCCTGAATCTGCCTGGAGCGTGGATGGGCAGAAATCACATCCAGATAGCCGCACCTTTGAAACCAGCCGACTGGGGTGCCACTGAGAGGGCATCCGGGTACCAAATCCTGTGGGAAGCATGAGGGCGGAGGAGCTGTAATTCCCAGGCTGAATTCAATCCCACCGTCCGGCAAACTGTGCGGCAAGTGCACCGCCGTGCATGCAGTGAACCAGTCCTCCCCCAGCTTTAAAACCCAACAACAGCACCGAGATAGTGATCTAGTGAGTCTTCCAGCATGCCTGGCACTTTGCTAAATGCTATTCTTACTTTTTAGATCCTACTTTTTAGAAGGGGAAACTGAAGCACAGGGAGGCCAAGTAGCTTGCTCAAGGTCCTGCAGCCGAACAGTAGCAGAAATAGGATTCAGACCAAAGGCATCTGGTTCTAGAGCCCATGTCTCTCCTGGCCCTGCATTTAGGTGCCCGCCTGTCACAGGATGCCGGACAGATGTGCCCAAAGCAGACACAGAAGTGCCTGGAGCTCCCAGCAAGGGGCTACCGTTTCTGGCTAGGGATGCAGAGAGGGTTTCTGGGGGGCTGGAGGTATTTGTGAGGCCAGAAGGGTGAGCAGGTGTTGAAAGGGGGAGAGGGAGGGAGTGGGCATTCTAGAAGGGCAGCACAGCCAGGACGGGGGGGGGGGCTGGGGTGTGGACATGTTGATGCGTGGGGCTGAGGGCACGCAGCTGTAGGTGAGGAGGGACGTGTTGGTGGATAGACGGCTGGCTTTCTGGGTGGGTCAGACAGAGAGGAAAGCCTGGAATCAGGCAGAGGAGGGCTCTGAACAGGAAAGCCCTCCTTGCCGGGGGTATAGTGAGAAGCTGCTCAGCTGGGGGAGTGGGGTGTGGGCTTGGTGACAGGGAGAGCACAATGTGACACAGGAGAGGGAGCTGGAGATGAGCTCAGGCAGGGCGTAGGGTACCAGGCACGGGGGTCAGGGACTTAAGAGGTGAGACTGCTGCTGGGCGCCCCTTTGCATGCCCACCCCCTTCCCTAGTCTGGGCTCCTAGGAGGCCTCGGAACTCTCCAGCCACGTTGTCCTGGTACCACTGGCCAGGCCCAGTGGCTGAGTTTGCCGCATGCCTTCCACCCTATGTTGGTCCCGTGCAGTGTACCACCTCCCAGATCGGGGTGCGGGTGGCCAAGTGAGCAGAGGCTGCATTCTTCTGCTCTTCTGAGAATTCTGGAACCTCAGGGTGTCTGGATGGCTCACTCAGTTAAGCAGCCAACTTCAGCCCAGGTCGTGATCTCACAGTTCGTGGCTTTAAGCCCTGCGTCAGGCCCTGTGCTGACAGCTTAGAGCCTCGAACTTGCTTCAGATTCTGTGTCTCCCTCTCTCTGCCCTCCTCCCGCTCACTCTCTCTCTCAAAAATAAACATGAAAACATTTTTTTTTTTTTTAATTTCTGGGACCTCAAGCCAAGTGTGCACTCCCAGGCCACCTTGCCCCCTCCCCAGCCTCTTTACAGGCAGATGGCTCCATTTCTTGGGAAATCTGCTTCTAGCCAGAAGGTGCATTCCTCAAGGAAAGGACACTTTCCTAACCTGACCAGCCCCCACTGCTCATATCCAGAGAGCCCTGAATCAGGAGGTTTTCTCTGTTTCTCAGTCAAATTCCTCCTGCTGTAGAGTTGGCTCTTTTCAGGGCTCAGGAAGCTAGTGTTTCTCCTGTGGGGTTAATCTTCCAGAACTCCATGTCAGTCTCCCCCCACCCCATCCCACTCAGCCTGACACTCCCTCCATTCCTCAGAGGCCATATTATTCTGTACCAGGAATGGCATTCCATCTAGCCACTTCTGGGATCTGAGGTAGACTTTTTCTTGGCCTTGCCCGTGACCTGCTTCTTGCCCTTGGCTCTTGCCTGCTTACCTCCCCCACCCCTTCACGTCAGTCGGGGACTGAGCTTATCCAGCCTGGCCTCGAGACTCCTTCCCATCTGTAGCTCCAGGCTGGCCCATTGTCTTGTAGAAGGACACCCCTGCCCCCACCCAGGGGCCTGTGCAGAGCCTACCTGCCACCTCTCTGCAGCCTTAGCTTATGCAGGGTCCCTGTCGACCTCTCTCCCACCATACCATCAATGGATAGGAGTTTGGGTCTGGAAGAAATCAGGGTTGTCTGATCCAGCCCCCTTGTTTCCTACATGAGGAAACTTTAACAAGCACGATCCAGGTTGTACCTAACTTCGGAGGAGGGCCTGTGATTGTGGCTGTCCCCCAGGCACAGTCCCGTCTGAACTGAATTTTATCAGAGTCTTAGAATTGGGAGCGACCTTTGTGCTCATCTACTCTAACCTCCCGACGAAGGAAATTCCCACCACAACATTCAGGTCAAGAGGTTGGTCATTTTCTGCTTAAATGCTGCAAATGACGGGAGTCTCATTACTATGCAAGACAGCTTGCTATCAGTGGCCAGATTCAACAGCTGGAAAGCAGACCATACATAAGCTGAAATCTCCCGCACTGAGACTTGGTGTCTTTGCCTTTTGCGGCCATCCAGGAATGAAAGCCCAGTTCTAGCACTCACAGTGTTCAAAGATGCTAATGGCATCCTAGGAGCAGCGAGTCAAGGCGGGGATACTCCCAGTAGGAACAGGAGCCGGGGGGGTTGACCCCACCCTGATGTTCAGTGTCCGTGGTGCTGGAGGTGACATGGGGACAGCCATCTTCAGTTTCCATAGGGGACACCCCCTTGCTTTGACTTGTGGCTCAGGCGTCAACAGGGGCAGTGGGGAAAACATGGGCTTCGGAATCAGGTGCAGCTGCATTGGAACGCTGGTCTTTTACAAGCTATGTGGTTGCAAGCTGATTGCCCAACCTCTCTGAGCCTCTGTCTCTTCTTCTGATGGTTCCATAGGGTGATGTGCAAAAGTCTTGACATTCTGGTGCATGCCAGTGGGGCTCTGACTGTTGTCACTAGTGGTTGGGGGAGGGGGAGGGCTCACTGAAAGCCTGGCCTGCAATAAATGCCACCTTGACATCTCAACCTCTCTCTTTCCAGCACTTCGGTGGGGAGTTTCCCATCAGGGGAAAGCAGCGACCACGGCCCCCGGACACCTACGCAGCCTTTGCTGGATTCGGGCTTCCGTTCCGGCAGCCTGGGACAGCCTAGCCCTTCGGCTCAGAGAAGCTACCAGAGCTCTTCTCCCCTCCCGACCGTGGGCAGCAGCTACAGCAGCCCCGACTACTCACTACAGCAGTTCAGCTCCCCAGACAGCCAAGCGCGGGCTCAGTTCACTGTGGCCGGCGTCCACACGGTTCCTGGGAGCCCTCAGGCGCGCCACAGGACAGTGGGCACCAACACCCCCCCCAGCCCTGGCTTCGGCCGCCGGGCCATCAACCCCAGCATGGCCGCCCCCAGTAGCCCCAGTTTGAGCCACCGCCAGGTGATGGGTCCCGCGGGAACTGGTTACCATGGCAGCGCGGTCTCCAGCCCCCAGAGCAGCGCAGCGACCACTCCGGGAAGCCCCAGCCTGGGCCGGCACCCTGGGGCCCACCAGGTTTCAGGCCTCCATGGCAGTGTGGCCACCACCCCGGGAAGCCCCAGCCTGGGCCGGCACCCGGGAGGGCCCGGATCCGTGATTCCCGGCAGCCCCAGCTTGGACCGGCACGCGGCCTACGGGGGCTATTCCACCCCCGAGGACCGGAGACCCACACTGTCCCGCCAGAGCAGCGCCTCTGGTTACCAGGCTCCCTCAACTCCCTCCTTCCCCGTATCCCCTGCCTACTACCCGGGCCTCAGCAGCCCCGTCACCTCCCCGTCGCCGGACTCGGCAGCCTTCCGGCAAGGGAGCCCGACGCCAGCCCTGCCCGAGAAGCGAAGGATGTCTGTGGGAGACCGGGCGGGCAGCCTCCCCAACTACGCCACCGTCAACGGGAAAGTGTCCTCCTCACCCGTGGCCAGCGGCATGTCCAGTCCCAGTGGGGGCAGCACCGTCTCCTTCTCCCACACGCTGCCCGACTTCTCCAAGTACTCCATGCCAGGTGAGGCCCCGTCCCGCCCCCACCTGTGCCGTGGCAGACGGCCCACTGGTTAGGATGTCTGTCTCCATCTCTGTGCTGACGGCTCCTTGGCACACAACCCAGGGCAGCTCACTGACTTCTTGGCCTCAGTTTCCTTGTCTGTATAATGGGAGTTGGAGATGTCCTCAACGTAAGTGGACTGGGTACAGGGGTAGCGAGGAGGCCGAGGGTGCGATGATGATGATGATGAAGAGGAGGAGGAGGAGAAGGAGGAGGATAATGATGGTGTTACTGTGATGATTATCATCACCATGAGCGTAGCTCCTGCCACTCGCAGGGCGCACACTATGTGCCAGGCTCTGAACCACGCACCAGCCCTTTAATGCTCACGGCCACCTGGCAAACTAGGTATGATTACCCTCATCTTATGCATGGGCAAAATGAGGCTTAGAGATACTCGGTCATGTGTTCAGGGTCACACAGTTGGTACATGGCTTCTGATCTAGGCCCATATGCCCTGACGCTCATGCCCGCAAAGCATTAATCGAGTTGTCTTCTCGTGTTTTCGTATTTGTGATGTGGCATAACTTGGAAAATCTGCCCTCGACCCGCACCGCCATCCCTTTGGCCTGCCCACAGCACTCTGTCCCCACCTTTGGATCCCACTGTGTGTACATCACTAATAACAAACGGGTCAGGCGGCCAGATGCGCCGTGGGCTGAGGCCTAGGGTTGGGCATTTTCACTGGAGTCTGTTTTCTACAGAGCTGGCTTCACCAAAGCTTATGCCCGTTCACACACTGAACTCTTCCCTCATCGCCAGAACTCGGCGTCTTTGGCCTCCACGTAGAGGGCTTGGTATCTAAACACCAAGGTCAAGGCCTCAGCTGATCTGCAGCTTCTCAGCCAGACCTCTCATGTGCCTGTTGCAGAATGGCCCCAGAGCTCTGGGGCATTCGAGGAAGAGTTAGGTTTCAGGCAGGCCCTGGTGGGCCCCTGCCGCCTAGATTCTCAGTGTGTTGTTCCCAGGTCCTGCCCCAGCCCGGGGCCTGCCAGGCAGGGGCATTGACAGTGACCCCTCACGCCCCTGCTTCCTGCTGCCTACCAGAGAGGTCTGGTTCCCAGCCCCTCTTCTTGGAGGATGGAAACCTTCTAGTAGTTGGGACATTTCCTGTTTCCCACCATCTTCCCTGCTTAAAATAGCCACTGGAGTCAACACAGGAAGGCGCAGGGGGCTGCAGCCGCCTCTCACAGCTCATTAGGCCCCGCAGCCGCGGGTCCGGGGCTTCAAAGCAGAGAGGGAGGCAGCTTGCAGCAGTTGCTTGGCCCAGCGGCTTTGCCTGAGGGCCCCCCTCAGTGCACAGCTGCCAAGAAAGGGAGCTTCCTGCCCCATTGCTGTCCTCCAGAGGCTGATCCCAGGGGCCTAGCTCAGGGTGACCGACAAGTCAAAACAGACTGAGCACCAGACACACAATGTAACCCGTATCTCGGCTCTACGCCCTCAACTTTATAGCGTCGTTAACACAGGCGTCCTCTGTTCTGGCTTCTCTCTGAAGAAAGGGGAGGAAACCTGTGGAATTGGAATATTCCTTTCTTCCTCTTCTCCCAACCCCCTCTTTTTGTTTCTTTAAAAAAAATTTTTTTTAATGTTTATTTATTTTTGAAGGAGATATAGACAGAACATGAGCGGGGGAAAAGCAGAGAGAGAGGGAGACACAGAATCTGAAGCAGGCTCCAGGCTCTCAGCTGTCATCACAGAGCCCGACGCGGGGCTCAAACTCATGAACTGTGAGATCATGACCTGAGCTGAAGTAGGACACTCAACCGGCTGAGCCACCCAGGCGCCCCCTTCCCCTTTTTGTTTCTTTGCTTCCAGAAACTGAAGGAAGGGCTTGGAGAGCGAGGGCTGTACATCCTAACACCCAGACAAGGGAGATCAGGTGTAGCAGGCACTAAATGGGTGGCTGTGTTTCCTTACCTGAGAAGATCCTAACTGGAGCCTTTCTGTGAACTACCTGTGTGATTTGGGCAGGTCCCTCTCCCTCTCTGAACCTCACATCCCTCATTTGTAAAGTTGAGTGGTTAGATTGGATGCTGAGTATCTTCCAGAACCTGATGCTCTATAAAAGCATCTCTGGTCTGCCAAGAGTCTGAGCGGGGGTCATTTGCCAGGGAAGTGGGGTATGTAACTCACAGGAGATAGCTTCTAAGCCACCCCCTCCTCTGTTCCAGGGCAGGACTGTTTTTGTGTATGTGTATGACAGAGAACACGGGCTCTCCCTATAGGGCATGAGGAAGGGCTTGGGAGAAGTGATGGAAATGTAGCTTTCTTCCCGCAACGTCAAGGTTGCTATGACAAAGTTGGGAAATTCATCCAGTGGAGAAAGAGGCTAGAAGGTAGGGTGCCTTAGCCTGTGAGAGAGAAGCTGCAGGAAGGATTTGGCCCAGATCTTTTGGAGAGAGAAGGGGATAGGGGGAGAAAGGGCTTTCCTCAGCTCAGTGAGAACGCTGTGCCAGGCTTTTCCATAGGAGAGCAGCCCTGTGATGCACAACAGTCGGCAGGAGACGAGATGGGCAAGGCGCTCGAGGCCCCTTCCTGCAGGGCTCTGATGGCGTTTGAGGACATTGCCTTTTTGTGTTAGTTTCCTACCGCAGCTACAACAAAGTGCCACAAACTTGGTGACAAAGACAGCAGTTAATTTCTCATGAGTTGGAGGCTAGAAGTCCAAAATCAAGGTGTTGGCAGGCTCCTTCTGGAGGCTTGAGGGAGAATGTGTTCTACGCTTGCCTCTTAGCTTCTTGGGGCTGCTGACAAATGCTTGGTGTCCCCTGGCTGGTGGATGTGTCCCTCCAGCTTCTGACTCCATCCTCACGACTCCCCCCACAGTTTCTATGTCTCTCCTCCACTTCTGATGTGAACACCGGTCATATTGGATTGGGGTCCCCTGTAATCCAGCATGACCTCATCTTAACTTGCTTCTGTCTGCAGAGACCCTCTTTCCAAAGAAGGTCACGTTCACAGGTACCTGGGCTTAGGGCTCTGACCTACCCTCTTTGGAAGACACAATTCAACCCATAACACTGTTTTTTTCTGTCTCCATCTCTCTTAGACAACAGCCCTGAGACCCGGGCTAAAGTGAAGTTCGTCCAGGACACTTCCAAGTATTGGTACAAGCCGGAGATCTCCAGGGAGCAGGGTGAGTCCTGGGTGGTACCGAGGGTCCTGTGGTCCATTAGAGCTCACAGCTGGCTGTAGCCCACCACGTCTTCCCTGGCAGACTTACTCCTTTTTGCAATACAGGGTGAACACGGAGTGGGGCTGGGATCAAATTCAGAGAGCAAGAGGCATCTCCCCACGGTGAACTGGGAGGAGTGGAAGCAGGGTTTGTAGACCTATGAAGGGTGTTTAAAAGCAACAAAATCTTGGGACGCCTGGGTGGCTCAGTTGGTTAAGCGTCTGACTTAAGATCAGGTCACAATCTCGCGGTTCGTGGGTTCAAGCCCAGCGTCAGGCTCTGTGCTGACAGCCAGCTCAGAGACTGGAGCCTGCTTCAGATTCCGTGTCTTCCTCTCTCTCTCTGCCCCTCCCCTGCTCAAGCTCTGTTTCTTTCTGTCTCAAAAATAAAACATTAAAAAAAAAAAAGGTAGCAAAGTCTTGATTTTCCAAGCAAGGTAAAAGGCCGGCCGAGATAATAGCAAATCTTAACTCTCTACATGATGTGGAGAGTCTTACACATTTTACAGAAAGAACAAAGTTTTAGGGTGTGGGGATGGAGTGAGACCCGCTGGGCTCCCAGGGAAGGTCTGTGTGGATGTAAGACAGGTGTTGGCGACTGTGGCCCAGGGCCCGACCTCTTTCTGTAAATGCAGTTTTGGTGGAACGCTCCGTATCTACTCGCCTACATATTGTTTGTGGCTACTTTTGTGCTGCAGTGGTAGAGCTGAGAAGTTTGCACTCGAGATGCCACGGCCTGCGAAGCCTGAAATATTTACTCCCTGGCTATTTATAGAAGATGTTTGCCAACTTTAGTAGAGCATAGGAGGACCCTTAGGGGTGTTTAAATTCTATCTGAAGATAAGATTCAGTAGACCTGATTCGGTAGACCTGAGGAGTCTTAAGCAAGGCCCAGTGCCATCAATTTCTCATTTGCTCTGGCCTTCCTATCCCTCCCAATCCCAGCCATCGCTCTTCTTAAGGACCAGGAGCCAGGGGCCTTCATCATCCGGGACAGCCACTCCTTCCGAGGGGCCTACGGCTTGGCCATGAAGGTGTCGTCGCCTCCTCCGACCATCGTGCAGCAGAATAAGAAAGGTAACACCCTCCCCTCGAGCCGGGCTTCTCAGCCAGGTGGTCTGCACAGCCTCCTCGGAGCCCGAGGCGCCAGAAGGACCGGGGCTGGACAGACCTCTAGTTCCTGGGGGAGCTGGTCCCTGCCAAGTCAGACTCTTCAGGAGAACAAGTCTTGGGCCTGGCCAATGGTTGGGGTCAGAGGACAGGGAAGCAGGATTATTGGGACTCTGGCTGTATCTCCTTGAGCGATGGTGTATCTACTCCTGGGTTCTGGCTGTATTATCTTTCCGACCCTTTCTCCCATCACAGAGCCGCCTATGGGGAAGTGAGGAAGCGGTGTTAGCAGGTGGTGGGAGGGCCCCATGAGAAGCGCTCAAACCTCACATCATTCTCTTTATCCCAGGGGACATGACCCACGAGCTGGTGAGACATTTCCTGATAGAGACCGGCCCCAGAGGAGTCAAGCTCAAGGGCTGCCCCAACGAGCCAAACTTCGGTGAGCTGTCCCTCATCCCTGTCTCCACAGCCTGCCGGCCTAGAGTGTCTCTCCCAGGTCCCCCTTGCCATAGACGCAGCAGAGGAAGTGAACAGTGGCCTCCCGTCCTCTGTGCCATGGCTGATTCACTCTGCCAAATTCTTTCTGCATTTGTCTCATCCCACTGAAGTGCACTGTCATTAGAATTTGAATAATAGCTGTAACAACTGCGTTCATTGACCACCTACTATGTGAAAGTCACCATCTGGGAACCTTATGTTACTCCTGGTCTCATAATAATCCTGCATGGGAGGTGTTATGGTCACATTTACACATGAGGAAACTGGGGTTCATAGAAGTTAGGCTTACCCAAGAACACATAGCTAATAAGTGACTGAGGTGGGATTTGATCCCATGTTTTCCCTGATACTTCTGCTGCACTGTCCTGAGAGGGGCCCCAGCAGCTGGAGGGACTTAGGAGAGATGTTGGGAGGAATTTTCTAGAAAGGAAACCTTATGGCTGCTAGAGCAAGCTGCTGGAACCTTCTCCCTTAGATCTCGCTAACAAAGAGGGAGTGGATTTTCAGCTTTATTGGTGGGATGAGGGAGAGGTAGGTAATAAGGAAGCTGAAGATGGCAGCTAGTGGGGTTGGGTGGTCGGGCTCCTCATGGCCGGGGCCTGCTCCCAGTGACACTGATTGCTCCTGACATGCTTTCTCCCCCTGCAGGGTCTCTCTCTGCCCTGGTCTACCAGCATTCCATCATCCCCCTGGCTCTACCCTGCAAGCTGGTCATTCCAAACCGAGGTAGGAACGTGAGACTCCTTGCTCTCCAAGTACATCTTTGAGACGGGCTGCTGTTTGTGTCAGTGCTGCCAGCCGCTCCAGAACGTGGGCCAGCATCAGAGGACATGGGTCATTTTGCCAATCTGGGGAAATTCAAAACTACTTTCCTTTAAAAAAAAAAAAAAACTCCTATTAAAAAAGAAGGAAAAGTTCTTTAAAAAACTTAACTCCAAAAACACACATAATTGACTTTCCAGATTGTTCTGGAAAATTCTCTGGTGGCTTTAAGAAATTCTTTTGAGAATCCTCAGAATAAGCCCAGGGGGGTGGCACTAGAAGTAGGAGTCAGTTATGGGGAGGACTGTGGAGGATGAGATGGGCACTGGTGGGCAGGGCTGAAGGAAGGGGGAGGGGAAGGCAGATTTAGGTCATGGGGGCACCCAGGTGTTGGAGGTTGGTGTGAATAAAGAGGAGGGAGCACACTCAGACGAAGAGGTGACTGGGCTCCTCATGGCGTGGGAAGAAAACAGGGCCAAGACGTCCCTGGAGTTTCTAGTCTGCTTGGCTGAAAGGCTGTTCTCTGACTGAGGAGATGTAGAGCTGTTGGTAAGAGCAAGGTCTCTTGGTTGTGGGAAGTATAGGGCCCACCCGGGGGAAATTATGCTCGACCCTGACCTTGAGGTCTAGGAGCTGGAAACTGGGTACTTTGTCCCCATCCTCTCTGTTTACAAACAAGATATTCAGAAGTGTCTCTGGGACTTTTCTTCCAATTTCCCTTGGAGCTCCTGGGGCTATGCCCACACAAAACCCCTAATGTTATTTCACAATTTCTATAAATCCAACTCAACTCATTGAATTATTTATTAATAATAATTAACCAACGTTATTAGTGTAAAAGTTTAAGTACAACTTAAGTAGCATTATGAACCACACAGTTGAGACCCTAACTAAATTATAGTTATACAAAATTTATGAAAATAGTTTAGCAATTACAGAACTGTTTGACACTGACATTGTGTAAACCAGTTGATTCTCAAAGTACGGTTCCCAGACCGGGGGCACTGGCACCCTGGGAACTTGTTAAAAATGCAAACATTCTCAAGCCCCACCGAATCACAAACTGTGGTGGGGGCTCAGCAATCTGTTTTAATAAGCCTGCTCTCCAAAGTCTGAGAAACACTGGTACAGACAATACTCCATTCTTCGTAATATCGAAATCACGGTTGTGCTGCATTAGCGCTTTGGTGAATCAGGACTTTCATCGATCTACATCAATGCAAAACGACAAAAGCGATGTCAGTTGCCACTTGAAGGCTTGCTTTCTGCCAAGTGCTGGGCTAACACTGTACATGGAATATCTCAAAAACTCAGCCCAATCAGTACTATCATCACGATCTCCATTTTATAGGTACTTGGCAAGTGCTGGGGTGAAGCTCTGAACCCCACACTGTTGGATTCCAGGGCTCTCAACCCATGTGCTGACTATTGACAGTCCTCATTGAATGTTCAGACCAGATACACACGTGCCCACTGCCAGGGCCTATTATGAAAAGCAGTATCCATTTCAAAACAGTATTTGCAGAGCTTGTCTGGGGCCCAGCCAGACCTGTGCTTCTTTCCAGCTCTAGAGTTTTAATTACCAGCTGAATTAAATTTTTGTCTCAGACCCCACAGATGAATCGAAAGATAGCTCGGGCCCTGCCAACTCAACCACTGACTTGCTGAAGCAAGGGGCAGGTGAGTGGCCACCCCAGACGGGATACCTGCCCAGCCCTTTCCTCCTGCCTGCCCTGTCCCTTCCTGCAGACCCAGTCTTCTCTGGGCGGTCTGTGATTCTCTGTGCGGATGCCTTGGCCTGAGGCTGGCCCAAAATTCATCCACTCCTTCTCCCCTGAAGAGCTGAGCTGGGAGGTCATCCCCACCCACTCCAGTTCTCGTGACTTCTCTTTGGGTGGGTTTATTCCAGCCTGCAACGTGCTCTTCGTCAACTCTGTGGACATGGAGTCACTCACTGGGCCACAGGCCATCTCCAAAGCCACTTCTGAGACTCTGGCTGCTGACCCCACACCAGCTGCCACCATCGTTCACTTCAAAGTTTCTGCCCAGGGAATCACACTGACTGACAACCAGAGAAAGTAAGACTCTTCTCCTTGTTTCCATACTGGGCTCCCTCCCTGTGCCCCATCTATCTACTTACCCACCCACTTACCATTTGTACCTTGTACTCATCCATCCACCTGCCCACCTGTCCATCTACCAACTGTGCCCCCATCTATCCACCTGCCCACTCATCCACTGACCTGTCCACTCATCCACCCACCCACCCATCCACTTGCTCATCTACTCACCAGTTGATTTCGTTACTGTATCCATTCATCATCCATTCATCCCCCCCACCCATTTATCCATCTACCCATTTATTTCTACATTCATTCATCCACCCATCCATCCATTCATCCATCCATCTTTCTTTCTACAAATAGGCCTACATGGAGTATACAGCCATAAATACAACTCCTAGAAGTGCCTGATTTCTAGAGCCCTTCCTCTCATGCCCTCCCTCCAGCTTCTTTCCTTCCTCCCTCAGGTCCCCTCAATGCTCATTCTTCAGCACCAGTTTCTTCTTTCTTTTCCTAGTCACTAGCAATTGGGACATGTTTCAGTGACACATTTGAGTCCCTGTGCACTGCTTAGATGAGCAGCCCAGACCATCTTGCTCATGAGGTGGGGGGCGGGGGGCAGCTGCGGGACCCATGACGGCCGCAGAGGGTAGCCTGACACTTGCAAGTGGAAAGTGGGAAAGGGTGGTCACTCGGGCACTCATTCTCTGTTTATCTGCTATCTGTGCCGCAGGCTCTTCTTCAGACGACACTACCCCCTCAACACTGTCACCTTCTGTGACCTGGATCCGCAGGAGAGAAAGTAAGTGTCTTGTAGACACCTTCTCTCGCACCATCTCCACAGCACTGAGGTCTGTGTGGGTGTGTGTCTGGGCGTGGGTGTGTATTCTCAGTTCAACTTGAAGATCCGCCTGTGTCTGTGAGACTGTGAGTAATTATGTCAGGTACCTTTTTGAGTTTTTCCCACCACAAGTTTGGAGCCCCACGTGGGGACTCAGATGCTTGCTTCCATGCCCCATGCCATATCCTTGACCTTGAATCCGCCTCTCCTCTCCGCACTGGGGAGCGCTCCTTGGGAGGCAGGCCGCAGTGTTGTGTTCACCTTGAATGCCTCCCGCTGCATGATCTTTGGAGGCTCCCATGCCCCTGGAACGGGGTCTCCCTTGCCTTCCCCCAGCAGGTCTGGGCGTGCACCGGGCTGGGTTCTGGGGGGAGAAGTTGTAGTGATTTACACTGTGGTGTCTTTCTCTCCACAGGTGGATGAAGACAGAAGGAGGTGCCCCTGCTAAGTAAGTGTGGCTCTTCCTCTGACCCCAGCTGGCTGCTCCTTGGGGAGGTTTAGAATCTGGGACCAGGGGTAGGCATAGGGCAGCGAGGGCCTTTGTGCTCAGGTCACTCAGCTTTGGAGAAGAGCTTGCCCAGACAGCCAGGTCTTTTGCCTTCTCCTGCCTCAAAGCCAGAGGCCCAGCCTCCAGCCTTATCACCCTCCCTCTTCCAGGACCAAACCAGCAGGGGTCTGAGAAAGCGGACAGAAAGCTGGGGGTTCTAATGGAGGCAGCAGTCATGGGGAAGTGCTTGTTTATTTTTTTTAAAGATTTTTAAAATATTTATTTATTTATTTTTAATGTTTTTATTTATTTCTGAGAGAGAGAGAAAGACAGCATGAGCATGGGAGGGTCAGAGAGAGAGAGAGAGAGAGGGAGATACAGAATTTGAAACAGGCTCCAGGCTCTGAACTGGCTGTCAGCACAGAGCCCAATGCAGGGCTGGAACCCATGAACCGTGAGATCATGACCTGAGCCGAAGTCGGATGCTTAACCAACTGAGCCACCCAGGCGCCCCTATATGTTTATTTATTTATTTTTGAAAGAGAGAGAGAATGTGAGCTGGAGAGGGGCAGAGACAGAGAGGGAGACTCAGAGTCCAAAGCAGGCTCCATGTTCAGAGCTGTCAGCACAGACGCGGGGCTTAACCGACTGAGCCACCCAGGCACCCCTGGGCTTGTTTAAATGATCTTTCCACCCAAATCCTGGCTTCTTTGATCGCTATCCTCACTGTTTTGGTGGGTTTCTATGAATCCTGTGGTTGGGCTCCATCTCTTCATCAGAACTCAGGAGCCCAGAAAGTCAAATTTCTTCGGGAATGCACCTAGGACCTTCTGGCTGATTCTTCCTCCACCCCCTTCAACATTTCCCATGTGCCCTCAGGGAGCTCAGCCCCAGGATAATTCAGACGGGCCTGGAGGCTGCCTCTGCCCTCAGGAGGCCTGACATTGCCACAGCGTATAAGACAAGTGCATACACAGCACTAACATGTTGCAATGGTTTTCAAACCATGTTCCCAGGAAGCCTAGGGTTCCCCGCTTGCAACTGAGCCATTATGGAGGAAGGAGAAACCCTGGCCTGGTAGGCAGTTATTTACCAGTGTGGACCAGGGTTTTCTCAGTCTCACGAAACCTACGCAGAGCATAGGAATAATCGAGTACTGAGGCTGACCTGTGGTTAGCAATTCCACATCTGACTTTGCACGGTTCATCCAAACAGCCCCAATTTTTCTCCCTCATTGACTTTATAATAGGCAAATGTTTTGCTATTGAACCGATACATTCATAGCCTTAAATCCTGCTGTTGCCTTTATGTGTTTGGACTTGGTGCAAGATTGCTGTAGAAGAGGAAAACTTTCCCTGTTAAAAGAAAAAGAAAACTGCTGCTGTAGAGGCACATAAAGTAGGGTACAAAGCATATGGCCGGGGGATAACGAAGGAGAGCGCATCGAGGCAAGGAGAGATTGGGGCAGGTTTGGGGGAAGATCTCATAGTTTCAAATGAGTCTTAAAAGCAGTACACTTTGCACAGGTAAAAATGGGTGTGGGGGTAGGAGACAATTTCCCCGGGATGGGGAGGCATGGCTACCCCGTCGCCCAGCCCCTGAGGGTAGGACTGTGTCTAAGACATGGGAGGGGTGATAAATATTTGCTGAATGAAGGAATTCAACGATGGAGGCAGGCAGGGGGAGAGTGAGGAGGAGGAGGCACGGTGAGGCCACCCAGGTCAGGAATTAATGGAGCTGAGCAGTAGGCAGTCAGCACCATGAACGCCCTTGGGAGCAGCCAGAAGGGCTGGGCGGGATGCAGGGGACCTCGCCTTGACCAAGGTCACATGAAGAATTAGCTGAGAGGAGCACACAAGGGTCCAGCCTTCTTGAAGCTCGCCTTGTACCTCCTTCAGCCTTCTTTGGGTTTCCAGGGTGGTTAAGGTCTCTCAGTCCCTGACCCCAGCCAGGCAGGTGGGAACCTGGTGTGTAAGGGTCACTCGGCACTGGCCCGCCATGGAGAGGGAAGATGGTTCAGGGACAGAAATGGCCTGGGCCCTAGCCTGGAAATCATTCTCTTCATTGGGGGGCTGGTTTTGTGCTGAGCCTCCCACAGGCCAGGCCGAGGCCCAGGAGAGCGGGTCTCAGGCGAAGGAGGGGCGTGCAAAGCGCCTTAGGCCCCACAGTTAAGGAGACACTTGTTCTCAGGCTCTCGCCAGCTCTCCTCCCTGCCCTGGGGCTGAGGGTTCTTGCCTGGATCTGTTTCCCCAAGCGGAGAACCGACTTGGCAGTTGTTGAACCTGGGCTGAAATAAACAGTAGGGGAGGGCAGGCGGGCGGGTTTAGGCGGGTGAGGCCGGTTGGCTCCCCACCTTGGCAGAACCAGGCAGCCAGGGCTGGCTCGCTGTCAATGCGGCAGCTTGGAGCCACCCCCTCCCCCCAACCCTGACTGCCTTCCAGTGCGCCCAGGAGACCCGGCAAGCTGGGACAGGGGGGTCCTGGGGATTGGTGCACAGACCCGGGCTACCCCTGCACATGGGCAGGTCATTACTCCGGACTCTGGTCCGGCTGTTCCACACCCTCAAACAAAGTTGGGGAGAGCAAAGCCGTAGGAAGCCCGGTATGTGTTTGCGTGTGCGTGTGTGCACACATACATGCGGGTGGTGGCAAGCGGGACCCGGCTTTGCTAATTTTAGCTGTTGTGGTCCAGTCCTGGGGAGAGGGGTTTCTGTCGGAATCTCCAGCTGTCCCGATTTCCCCATCTCGCTCTAATTAGCAACGTGCCGACTGGGAGGGGACCTGGGCTCACATTCTGTTCTCTGCTCGTATTTTTAACTCTGTTTTGCACAGAGAATGCCGGGTCACTCCAGCCCTAGTGGGGGTAGGGAGGAACAGGTGTGGGGTCCCCTGTCCCCTCCCTTTCTCTTGAGTCCAGGAAAGTGTGTGTGTGTGTGTGTGTGTGTGTGTGCGTGCACGGGGGGTGGGGGTGACCCCTTGTCCTTATCTCCCTGACCCTCTCCTGGTGTCTGAGGCCAACTGCTTTGACAGGCAGAGAGCATTTTATCCATGTGCTTCTGTGTTATGTGAAGAAGAGTCAGGGAGGGGCAGGGCTGAGAAGGAGGAATGTCCCATTTTATTTTCACTCTCCTCCCTCTACCTCTTAGTGTCCAGTCTCTGTCCTTGGCCTCCAGCTTTTCCTGCCCCTGCCCCTCTGTCTGCCTGAAACCAATCACTTGTTATCTCCAGAACCTGGCTGTGGGGCGCGGGGTAGAGGGGAGAGAGGAATCCTTTCCCCTGTGCTCTGTGTCCCAGTCCTCCCGTGCAGGGAGAGGTGGGAAGAGTGGGGAGAGACTTCAGCCTGAGGACAGCTCGCTCATGTGGGCAGTCCTCTGAGGCCTGGGGTCCCCTTCACGCCCCTCACCCGCTTCTCCTGCCCCATCAGGCTCTTTGGCTTCGTGGCTCGGAAGCAGGGCAGCACCACCGATAACGCCTGCCACCTCTTAGCTGAGCTTGACCCCAACCAGCCCGCCTCCGCCATTGTCAACTTCGTCTCCAAGGTCATGCTGAGTGCCGGCCAGAAGAGATGAGCACCAGCGCTCGCCCGGGGCCGTGGCATGGGGACGGGGCATGTGGGGAGGGGACTCATGAATCCTGACCACCCTTGAATCCAGAAGGAGGACTTTGGGCCAATTTTCGAGAAGGAGAGAAGAAAGTGCAACGTGGGGAGGGGGAAGTGAATTGCAGAGGGGAAGGGGTGAGGGAGAGAGCTAGAGAAAGAAAAAGATGGAGGAGAATAACTTGGATTCCCCTGGGTGGATGGGTACCGCGGAGCCCCCAAAGACTCTACCACTAACCAGGTCCCCCTCCCCCCTTCCCCCTTCCAAGAGGCTGGGGCTCCTCAGAAAACACAGACCAACTCCTTGGGGATCTATATTTTGGGAGTAAATGGAAAAGCTCTGTCTCCCTAACCCAACTGCTTTGCAAGGAGAAATCAGATGGAGAGAATCCTTTTCTGGCCGCCTCTGGGGTAGATTGGCAAACCAAAAAGAGCAAGCACGGGGCATCAAGTGGAAGAACTTTTGCCTTTGAGAGTACCTTAGACCTGAGGTCCCTAAGGTCTCTGGACTCTGCCTCCGATGTATAGTCTGTGTGGGTGTCTATACGGGGTATATACTATGTCCACACCCACAGCTTCACATACTGATTTCCATGTGCCTCTCAGCCACAGTTACAAACACATGCACTTGTGCGTGCTCCGTGTATCTGCACACACATGTGTATACTGTCCAAAGAAGGTGTGAGTTGGGGGCGACAGGGCAACAAGAGTACCCAAGATTATGGGGTAGCAGACTCTCTCTTGGTCCCCGCACTTGCTTTTTTAGTGGCTCTGGGTGCTGTCAGCACCTTCTCAGCAAAGAGTGCCACAGGAGTGGGGCTCGCTGCCCTCCAGCCTTAGCCCTGATCTGCCCCCACAGGGAGTCTGGAGCCTTGGTTCAGGAGGTGTAGATGCATGTGTGCATTGTCTTGGGGAAGAGACCCCTCAAGAGGAGTGCTGGTTGAGCTCTGGGCATCTTCTCGGAGGCGTATGGCCCAGCAGCAGGTATGGGCAGGTCGCTGCTGCCAGCTCTGAGCCCTCAGCCCATTCTTGGGTTTTGTGCCTCAGACCGGCCTTTCTTCAGATTTCTTTATCAGCTTGATGCCTTTTTGGGTGTTGGGGATCGAGCCTTCCTGCCCCGGTCTGTCCCTCAGGGTCTCTATGTTGGAGCTTGTCCTGGGGAACCTGCTCAGTGGGGCCCAAGGGAGACACCTGATGGCCTTTTGCCCCCCTCTCCGGGTGTGTCTGGGTCTTAACTGTTACTGGGCTGCCCCGGGTATCCTTGGCAGAGCTTGTGGGGCTACTTCCTGTGCACCTACCTGGCCCGCCCACAGCGCCAAAGCTTGCTGCCCCCCACTCCTGCCAAGGCTACCCCGGCACAGCCAAGCTGCCCATGAAACAGACGGGAGGGGTGAGGGCATGCACTTAGGTTGGAGGGCCGAGAGTCCATCCGGGCAATTGGGAACTCCCCAGACCACCACCAAGCACTCTAAGCCAGAGTAGAAAATTTACCAGGACTCCATTGTTGAATGGCTTCTTAAGCCGACAAGGTCTCTATTGAGAGGCATTGTACTGATATATAAATATATATAATATATATGTGAGACATACTGACAGAATCTGTAAGCTAATAAAATATAAGAAAAGGTTAAAAAAAAAAAGAATAGGTAAATCGACAAGAAGTATTTATTGTTTTCCCATATTGCTTTATTGCCTTCCCAGGCATAAACCAGTTCCCATCCCTTTTTTTGTGTATAAGTGAGGTCTGAAGTGCAGGGGGCCTTTATCCTTGGAGCCATCAGGGGTCTCTTGACCTTGGCCTTCCCTAGATTCTGTGTGGGGCTCAGTGAAGAGGGGGTGCATATTTCCATTCCCTGGGCCCCCTTATTTTCTGGCAAGTCCGGGGCACAGCGGTCGGCTACCGGAGATGAGGGGAGCCGCCCCTCGCTGTGGGCCTGAGCAAGTGTATGAGCCTGTGGGGGACAAGGGTGTGTGGCAGATGTGGGTGACGTGTGTGTCTTTTGCATTTTTTCTCCTCCAAGAAGCTGTATCTGTGTGGACGTTCTGTTTCAGGGAGTTGGTGTCTGAAGGTAGGGAGCAGGGCCTCGCTTCCTAAAGATTGCGGCCTTGTACTTGGTGACCAAGCTTCCTCCAAAGTGCTCTTCCTTCTGAGGCATTCAAGCCAGATGCCCAGATTTCCCCCGTCCTCATTCCCGACATACCCCAGCTCTCTTCCCAGATAGGAGACAGTCCCTGCCCACTTCCTTTGTAAATATCCTGATGTCCTGCAGGCCCTGGCCATGGGACTCTCCCCGCCTGGCCTGGGTGTCCTCTCTCCACGTGAGGCCAGGTGGGGTGGCAGACCCTTCGGCGGCCAGCCCTGGGCCGTCACGCGTGCTTGCCCACTGCCCACCGGCAGCCCCCACCTCCCAGGCATGGCCAGCCTGCCCCACTCAGGCCTGAGCCTAGGGTGACCCCGGGAAGGACCGGGCACCCTGGGAAGCTGATCTGCTCACCCCTTCGCATCCCTCTGGAAGGAGTGGGTTTCCAGAAGAATGAGAAGGAAGGGTACCCCAGTCTCCAAGGGGCCCTACCTTTGGGTCAGACACTGGTTGGGAGGACACTGTGGCACTCCCGTGTCTCACAGGTTAGGTCTCTGCACCCCACGTGCACATGCGCGTGCACACACACACACACACACACCACAGCACTGCAGTATATTCTTGCCAAAGATTTCCTTTAAGAGAAAGCACTTTTAAGAATTATTGTTATTGTGTAAATGTCTATCCTTTTCTCTCCTCCTTTCCCCTCAACCCTTTTTGCTGTTGTTGTTGAGTCTGTCTGTCAGCCAGAACGCTGTCTGGTCTTAAAAATAGGCTGGCAGGGCAAGGGTCTGGGGGGAGTTGGCAAGGATGGACGGGAGAGGTGGCGAAACAGGGACAGAGAGGCCAGGCGGGCTCAGGCCCCAGCGCCCTGCTCCAGCCAGGTGTCTGCGGCCGGCCGGGGGCCTGGGGGCAGGGAATTGACATCTGCCTGATTCAGGGACAGAGGCCCAGGTGGCTCCCCGCCGCCCGCCCGTGGAACAGGAGGGCAGGGCAGGGCATGGGAACAATGGAGAGGCGACCCCAGAGGGGAAATAGGAAGGAAGTGAGCTGTCTGGTCAACCTCCAGGGGTGCAGTCTTAGCGGCCTGGTCCCCTCATCTAGTCAGGTGCTTGTGGGCCAGTACACTGTGTCCCGGGCTGGGGAAGGGCCTTTGGCCCTCATCTTTGTCGGAGTCCCTCCCTAGCAACTCTGAAAACTTGTGGATTCCTTCTTCCTTAGGTTTTGAGGAATCCCTGGGTGTGTCAGAGACTGGCAGAGAGGGGTGGTGGGGCCTGGTGGCCGGGTGACCTGTAAGCGGCAGCAGCCAGCTGGACAAGTGTGATCTGTGTAAAGGGGCACCGAGGAGGAGGGGGGAGGGTACTCTGATGCGCCCTAGCCGAGGTCGGGGAGGCTCCTCCTGCCATCTAGGGTGTGCAGAGGCGTCTGTAAGCAGAACAGGATATATAGGCCCTGGGCATTTGCCCACCGTCCCTGCCTCCTGGGTCATCCCCCCTTCTTCAGAATCTCTCAACTTCAGGATTGGGGGAGGTCCATGCCCTGTCCGAGGGCTGCCTCCTGCCCCTACATCTCCCCATACTCGGGGTCCTTGGGGAGGTTGGGGGCAGAGTCCCAGAGCCACTCTTCACCCAGGCCCAGGCCCCAGGATCCTCAGACTGGAGCTCCTGGCTGGCATAACGCGGAGCGGATGCATACACGTGCATGTGCAAGTGTGGGTGTTTATGTGTACATATTTTGCTGGTCTCTAGGGAACATGGGGTTAGGGTCAAAGGTACTGAGTGAGCAATGGGATATCAAGGTCAATATTACCCAGCTGTGAAAGGAATCAGGAGGACCCCCAGCTGGTAGATTCTCAGTATTGTTGGTAAGAACTGGCTATATGCTGGGTGGGGCTCTGGCAGATCTGCCCCCTCCTGACTCCCGTGTCCTCGATGTCCAAGAGGTTGGAGGACTTGCATGCATTTCCCACACCTGGGCTCTTGCCAGCAGCGAGGCAACTGTACAGGGGTGTCCCGAGTTTGGTTTCTAATCAGTGTTAAACAGTTGGAGACTCTCTTATGTGTCCATGTTCGGTTTGTGTGTGAGAGTGAGCACGTCTGTGCGTGCATGCCGTGTTTCCCCAGTTTCTCTCCTCCCTCTGACAAGCCATTCGAAACAAATGTAAGAGATTCCTTGCCACCACCTCCCTGCCTCCCAGGTCCTCTGCAGGAGAAACAGAGTAACCCGGCGTCCTCCCCGTCCCCTGGCTATGTATTTATATAGATGGAAATATCCTTTCTATTTTGTATCATCGTGCCTATAACCTCTGCCACCTTGTATAAACCCTGACCTCTGCTACTTGCCCTGGATATGAATGTATTGTACACCCATGCTGGCCTGCTCCTGTACAGCTGCTTTGTTTCTTTGCAACCCATTGTATGGCTTTATAAATGATAAAGCGAAAGAAAAATCTGTGCCTTTATCTAGCTGTGTTTTTGGGGAAGGGGTCTGTGGCTCCTCGGCGAGCACGAAGGGGGCCTCCCCCAGGCTCCGGGGGTGTGGTGGGCTTCAGGGATGCCTCTGGCATACGGCTGGCCTGTAATTCTCTCAGTAGAGTCCCCGCCATTCGGGTCTTGGTTCTGATTGCCGCTGAGTTTTTCATCTGGATTCTTTCAGTTAGGACAGAAACTCAAACTGGTTTTTTTTTAAAAAAAAAAAAAAAAGAAGCAGTTTATCTGGAGCTGGTTCACATGACTGCCTCTGGAACATTCTGGACCGCGGGGACAGCAGGTAGGTGTCATGACATCCAAGTGACAAGGAGATCAAGGCTGTGAGAGGTCACGTAGCTTCTGACAGGCAGAACTGGTACTCGTCACCAGTGGTGACAAGCTGGCAGTTAGCAACCTAAGTACCCGAGACTGTGTCGAGCACGTGTGCCTATTTTCTCATGCACCTGCCCCCAGGGAGATAAGGGCTGTCCTTGTCCTCATGTCACAGAGAAAGAAACCGAGCTTCAAAGAGAAGCGAGAGATTGCGCAAAATCACAAAGCTGGTAATTGGCAGAGCCAGGCTGAGAACCCTAGAATGTCCATGCGTTTCTTAGCTCACATCTCTCTTCCTTTGCTGCTGGGGTTTTGTTTAGGAGGGAAAGACAGACTCGGGTGAGGGATGGGTAGGCAGGAGACCAAACTGATGGCATCGGTCAGACAGTCTGGCTGGCTTCCAGGGAGTGGACCAGTGCTCCAGATGTGGAAGCGGGCAGTGGGCCCCCTCCGATGCCACCCACCTGTGGGGGCACGTGGCCTCTTCGGGCTGGGACTGGGGCAGGGGATGCGAGAGGCAGAGGAGAATAGCAGGCTGGGGCAGCCTGGCTTTGAGGGGACAAACCAGGGAGGCAGGGTGGGGGCCACCCCTGGGGAGGAGGAACTAGACTGGCAGCCACAGGAGGGCTCTGGGGTGGGGAGGTGAGCACTCCGGATCCACCTTCTTATTTTTTTTTTTTTTTTTTAATGTTTTATTTATTTCTGGGAGAGAGATAGAGACAGCATGAGCAGGGGAGGGTCAGAGAGAGAGGGAGTCACAGACTGAAACAGGCTCCAGGCTCTGAGCTGGCAGTCAGCACAGAGCCCGACGCGGGGCTCGAACCCACGAACCGCGAGATCATGACCCAAGCGAAAGTCGGACACTTAACCGACTAAGCCACCCAGGCGCCCCCGGATCCACCTTCTTACCCTGACGACTCTCTTCATTCTTTCTGCAAATGTGGTCCCTGCGCCGTCAGCATCCACATCACCCGGGCGCTGTTGGAAAGGCAGAACCTCGGTCACCACCCCAGACCTGCAGACCAGAACCTGCATGTTAGCGGGACCCTCAGTAAATGCGCACAGGTGCCCAAGTCTCAGCAGCCTGACTGAGAGTCACACCGCTGGGACTCAAACCCAGGGCCCGTGATGCCCCGCGCGCGGCTTGCCTCAGCACCAGCTGAGCCGTTAGGGCTGTGACCGCTCCTGTCTGGGTCTCCAGGGAAGACCAGCGGTCCCAGGCTTTGCCCCGCAGCCCGGTGCTGGCCAGGGCCAGGAAGGGGCAGGGCCTGACCCCGGCACGCGGTGTTCCGAGTGTGGACAGAGTCTAGCCGTGGAAGGGGCAGGAGGGGCAGAGGGGTGGGGTTGGGGGACAGAGGCGAGGAGTCTCTCCTTTGGTCTCACACTTGGCTGGCAAGTCCTGAAGCCTGGGTCGCACCCTGAGATTACGAGTGAATCCGTCTGAGGTCCTGCGGGCACTGGAATTGCTCCCCTCTCCCCGGAACGACTGTGGAAGATCTTTCTTCACGTGGAATCCTCCCTGGCAGGGGTGTGTGCCCACAGACACACAGACGCACCTGCCCTGGAGAACGGCCTGGAGGAGGGCCAGCGTAGGAAGAAGTCCTTTCTGGGTTGGCTTGGATGTCCCCATGGTCCCTTCCCCGTGTGCCCCCTTCTCCCCTCGAGAGCCGAGCCCAAGTGTCCCTCGTCTAGCTCTAGCCCCACTGACCAGTCTGAGGCAGAGCTCTCTGAGGAGGGAGGAGCGGGGTGGGTCTCTAGGGCTGTGCCCAGGCCCCCTGGAGGGGCTGGGAAGGGAAGGGCCTGGGAAATCCGGTTGAGCGGCTCTGCAATTTCTCCTCATGGGCATAACTTCTGCCTTCCTATTCTTAAGACCTGGGGTTTCCTCATTCACTGGCGAAAATGACTACTAGTCTCAGGGGTTTCTAAGCAACTCAAAGTAGGGAACGGATACAGCTGGTTCTAAACAACCGACAGTAGGTAGGAGACCAAATGCACCTGTGTGTTGGGGGGTGCCTGCACACACACATACACACAGCGCACACACGCAAACACGCACACGCAGACCTAGACTGTTGGGCTGTGCAGTGTCTCCACGTAGGCATCTCCTTTCTACCCCCTTCCCGCCCACATTCTGGTGTGGAGACCCGGTCCTGGGGGTATCAGGCCAGCAAGGTGGCAGCGCTGCTCCCACAGCGAGCTGACCCCTGGCTGTGCTGATTAGCAGAGTGGCACAGTCAGAGGAGAGGGCCAGCACCCCCCTGAGTTCCTCAGGTCAGGTCAGGGGCCTGGTGCACAGTGGATGCAGGAGGTGGGCAAGCGGGAGTCGGTGGGGAAGGGCCAGTGGGCAGCAGCCTCGAGGAGCCTAGGGACTGGGACAGCTTGGCTTGGAGAAGCAGAGGCCTGGGGAGGCCGGGATGCTGGCTGTGCCGTGTCCTGTGGCCTCCCATGGACAAGGGAGCCCGCACCGTCACAGGTGGGGGGGCTGCCGGGAGCCCAGAGGGGAGAGGAGATACTGGGAAGCATGCTCTGGGACAGGTGAGCTCCTGCCCCCGCAAGTGCTGGGGTGAGGCCCGCTTCCATTCTGGGTGTGGCCGGAGGCACAGCCTAGGAAAGGCCTCTCTCCCAGCCTGAGCCAGGAGTGCAGACCAGCCAGGCCAGGCGTTGGGACCAGAGATGAGCCTCGTCAAGTGTGACCTGTCTAAGGGAGCGCTGGCCTCTGAACCAGGCACGGCTGGCCTTGGTTCTGGCTTTGCTAGGACCTCAGGCAAGTGTTTCCCCTCTCTGGGCCCCAGTTTCCTCGTCTATAAAATGGGAGAGTGCCTACCTCCGCACGGGGGGTGTGCAGACAGACTAAAGTCTAGTGCTGGGCTGTAGGGCTTTAAGGAATATGCACCTCCGTTCCTTTTCTTGTGTCTCTTGCTTCCTCCACACCATTCCTCAGGCCTCAGGGCAGACTTGGCAGCAGAAAGGCCTAGTAGCTGAAAGCCTCCCTGACGATATTGATCTCGCTGGCTCCTGACTCCTGACCACACGATTGCGGTGGGGGTGGCACGGCCGCCTCCGCGGCTCTGGCTTTTATGGGGTTTAAAGATCATCTCTGGCCATCGAGACAGGATGTCCGGGCTCTGGACCCCTCCTCTCGGCCCCTGTTCTGTTCCCCGACTCCTGGATTGGTCCTGGGAAACCAGGGGGTGCCCGCGAGGTCACTAGCCCCTGGCATTCCCTCAGCTTCATGTCCTGCATGAGTAGAATCTGACCTGGAGCACCATCACCCCTTCCTCAGGGGACTCGGGCTGGTTGGGGGACTTCAGGGGCAGAGGCTGCGTGGGGCAGGGGTCCTTGAGGAGGGCAGGAGACCACGGGAGAGAAGGAGGAAACCTCGCAGACACAGAGCCCTAGACCTCGGGGCAAGTCAATCCTCAATGAACTCACCAGATATTTATGGAGTATCTACTATGTGCAGGCATTGTGTGAGGCACTGAGGGATATTGGTGTGTTTGTTTCTCTTGTAGCATCCTGGGTCTACGGACAGCACGGGAAGGAGAGTGGGGGAAACATAAAGAAGCAGCTAATATATAATCACCATGTGATAAGTGCCCCAGAAGACAGGTACATGAAGCAGCAAGAGTTTGTAAATGGATCCTGATGGTTTGGGGAGAGCAAAGAAGGTGTCCCCTAGGAAGTGATGTTAGGGTTCATGGAGTGAACAGGAGCTGATTGTATAAAAATGAGAGAAAGGGTATTTCAGGCAAAGGCAACAGCACGTGCCAAGGTCCAGGAGTAGGAGGGACATAGCCTGCCTGAATCTCATGTGCCTCCTCTGGGCAGCGCGTTTTAATTTCATGTTCGATTGAAGGCCAGATAGGAAAGTGGTTAAGTGCACAGGCTGTGGTGTCAAGGTTCAGATTCCGCCCCATTCCTATTAGTGGTGGGACCCTGTGCACATTGCTTGACTTTTCTATGCCTCTGTTTCCACATCTGCCAGTGTGGGATGGGAATGGTGGTATCCGACTTAGGGGTTTATTCCTTACGTAGGAATTGAGAGTGTCCACCTGTATAAACATTTTGGGACAGCACTCGGCAGGCAAATAGTAAATGCTCAATAATGTCAGCTCTGTTTATTATCTACTTATTTGATTCTCTCCCTGCTCCCCCCTCCCCCAAACTAGACTATTAAGTCCTTAAGAGCAAGAACACAGCTCTGTTCCATCCCAGCCCCGGCACAGTGTCTGGGATGTGAGAGGCCCTGTCTCCATGTTTGTGGAAGGACTGAGGTAACCACAGGTCAGCGTAGCCAAAGGGAGCTGACGGGCCTGGGAGCGTCAGGAGGTTGGACTAGAAGAAGGTGGGTGAGTTTGGCAGGGCGCATTTGGTCATGTGAAGGGTTTGGTGTTTGTTGTAAGAACAGTGGACGTTTTTGAAAATTCTCAATCACGAAAGTGGTGGGAACAGAGTAGCATTTTGCAGAGATGACTGGGCATGTCTGTTCCAACATCTGTTGAATGCCAGCTGTAGGTTAGGTGATGTAGTCGATGTTATCTCATTTACTTATAAAACAATCCAGGGAAACAGGTTACATGGCTAAGGAAACTAAGGCTTGGAAGATTAAGTAGTTTGCCCAAGATCTCAAAGCTGGAAAATGCCACAGAA